GACGTGAAAACGCCTTGGTGTCTGACCAGCAAGCATGCAGTTCCCGCACATACTCCGCCGAGGGAGGAACCACAAAGGCAGTCTCTGACCTACTGCGCCTAAAGAAGGCGCTGGAAGCCGCAGGCTGGGCCTGAGGAACACTAATCTGTAAACGGGCAAGAGCCGTTCGAATAGCGGATGTCACAGACTCCCCCGTATCCTCCTGGGAGGCAATGGAGTCCGACCCAGAGGCCCCGGAGCCCAGCTCCGGAAGGTCCTCACAGAAATGGGTGCCAGAGGCCGCCACAGAAACAGCATCGTCGTCATTGACTGACGTTTCATCCTGCTCGGTAGGGAGAGCCGTGCCGCGATCACCAGCAGTCTGAAAGGACTGGAGGAGGGCTTTAATTTGGGCCAGCTCAGTAGTGAGATGATCCACTCTGGTGGACAACCTCCCTGCATCGGTCCGTCTAGCACGCTTCGTCGGTACCGAAGGTGCAGCCACAGTAGATCGTTTGCACACCGCTTTCTCCATCGGCAAACGAGCACGCGGCGAAGCGCTCGCCCAGTCGGTAGGCTGCTCCAGTGCAGCCAACCGATCCAGTCTGACCGACCGGGGCATGACGCGACAGTTGGGGCAAGCGTCATCTGACAGCGCCTCCCGGAGATGTTCCACACCGAGGCAGGAGGGACACAAGTCATGCCCGTCATCCGGCTGAAGTGGAGCCAGACAGGTCGAGCAACATAAATTATCCAGCATCATACTGCTGAAAGGCGTGATCAGCCTGCTACCAAGGACAAGTCAACACGAGCAGGAAACGCTACTGGCGACTCGTTGTAGGAAAACCCCCGCAGAGATTCCAAACTCAGCGTGAGCAGAAACGCCACTAGCAAATCGATTATTAACTAAAGATGAACTCAGCACGAGCAGAGACGCCACTGGTGAGTTTAGGCAAACAAACTATAGAAGAACCCAACGCGAGCAGAAACGCTACTGGTGGGCTTAGGCAAACAAACTGAAAACATCTCAGCGCGAGCAGAAACGCCACTGGTGAGTGTAGATAAACAAACTATAGAAGAACCCAACGCGGGCAGGAACGCTACTGGTGGGCTTAGGCAAACAAACTGAAAACAACTCAGCGCGAGCAGAAACGCCACTGGTGAGTGTAGATAAACAAACTATAGAAGAACCCAACGCGAACAGAAACGCTACTGGTGGGCTTAGGTAAACAAACTGAAAACAACTCAGCGCGAGCAGAAACGCTACCGTGAGTCAAAAGAGCCACAAAATTAACGTGGCAAATCAAAGCGAACAGTAAACTACTGCTGAGAAAAGAACGAAAACTTACCAGTCACCGCAGATCTGGTAAGGTGAAAGCAGCTTGTGCAGCCCCTGGAGGGCGAGACTTACCCGCAGCTCCGACCAAACCCGGTCACGGGGCTACCAGCAACAAGCAGCCAGGAAACTAGTGGTATACACAGAAGCAACCAGCTTCACACGACCACACTCCGGTACTCAACACACCTGCGCGCGAGAAGAACAAAAGGGATTGATTGCCGGGTGCCACGTGACTATATAGAGTCACGTGGGTCCCCGGCAGGTCACAGCTGACTTTGTTGTCATTAATACTCGACCTGCGCATGCGCAAGAATGATCATTCAGTGCTTGAAGCACCGCCTCTGGCGGTCAGTAGGGATGAAATAGAACCCAGCCTCTCAGGGCTACAGCGACCCGCTTAGATCAGGTTCTGGGTCCAGTAGAACCGGTTCTGGGTCCAGTAGAACCCGGCCTCTCAGGGCTACAGCGACCCACTTAGACCAGGTTCTGGGTCCAGTAGAACCCGGCCTCTCAGGGCTACAGCGACCCACTTAGAGCAGGTTCTGGGTCCATTAGAACCCGGCCTCTCAGGGCTACAGTGACCTACTTAGAGCAGGTTCTGGGTCCAGTAGAACCTGGCCTCTCAGGGCTACAGCGACCCACTTAGAGCAGGTTCTGGGTCCATTAGAACCCGGCCTCTCAGGGCTACAGTGACCCACTTAGAGCAGGTTCTGGGTCCAGTAGAACCTGGCCTCTCAGGGCTACAGCGACCCACTTAGAGCAGGTTCTGGGTCCATTAGAACCCGGCCTCTCAGGGCTACAGTGACCTACTTAGAGCAGGTTCTGGGTCCAGTAGAACCCGGCCTCTCAGGGCTACAGTGACCCACTTAGAGCAGGTTCTGGGTCCAGTAGAACCCGGCCTCTCAGGGCTACAGTGACCCACTTAGAGCAGGTTCTGGGTCCAGTAGAACCCGGCCTCTCAGGGCTACAGCGACCCACTTAGAGCAGGTTCTGGGTCCATTAGAACCCGGCCTCTCAGGGCTACAGTGACCCACTTAGAGCAGGTTCTGGGTCCAGTAGAACCCGGCCTCTCAGGGCTAGAGCGACCCACTTAGACCAGGTTCTGGGTCCATTAGAACCCGGCCTCTCAGGGCTACAGCGACCCACTTAGACCAGGTTCTGGGTCCATTAGAACCTGGCCTCTCAGGGCTACAGCGACCCACTTAGAGCAGGTTCTGGGTCCAGTAGAACCCGGCCTCTCATGGCTACAGCGACCCACTTAGAGCAGGTTCTGGGTCCAGTAGAACCCGGCCTCTCAGGGCTACAGCGACCCACTTAGAGCAGGTTCTGGGTCCAGTAGAAACCAGCCTCTCAGGGCTACAGCGACCCGCTTAGATCAGGTTCTGGGTCCAGTAGAACCGGTTCTGGGTCCAGTAGAACCCGGCCTCTCAGCGCTACAGCGACCCACTTAGACCAGGTTCTGGGTCCATTAGAACCCGACCTCTCAGGGCTACAGCTACCCGCTTAGAGCAGGTTCTGGGTCCCAGTAGAACCTGGCCTCTCAGGGCTACAGCGACCCACTTAGAGCAGGTTCTGGGTCCAGTAGAACCGGTTCTGGGTCCAGTAGAACCCGGCCTCTCAGGGCTACAGCGACCCGCTTAGATCAGGTTCTGGGTCCAGTAGAACCGGTTCTGGGTCCAGTAGAACCCGGCCTCTCAGGGCTACAGCGACCCACTTAGAGCAGGTTCTGGGTCCAGTAGAACCGGGCCTCTCAGGGCTTCAGCGACCCACTTAGATCAGGTTCTGGGTCCAGTAGAACCTGGCCTCTCAGGGCTACAGCGACCCACTTAGAGCAGGTTCTGGGTCCAGTAGAACCCGGCCTCTCAGGGCTACAGCGACCCACTTAGATCAGGTTCTGGGTCCAGTAGAACCCGGCCTCTCAGGGCTACAGCGACCCGCTTAGATCAGGTTCTGGGTCCAGTAGAACCGGTTCTGGGTCCAGTAGAACCCGGCCTCTCAGGGCTACAGCGACCCACTTAGAGCAGGTTCTGGGTCCAGTAGAACCTGGCCTCTCAGTGCTACAGCGACCCGCTTAGAGCAGGTTCTGGGTCCCAGTAGAACCTGACCTCTCAGGGCTACAGCGACCCACTTAGAGCAGGTTCTGGGTCCCAGTAGAACCCGGCCTCTCAGGGCTACAGTGACCCACTTAGACCAGGTTCTGGGTCCATTAGAACCCGGCCTCTCAGGGCTACAGTGACCCACTTAGACCAGGTTCTGGGTCCAGTAGAACCTGGCCTCTCAGGGCTACAGCGACCCACTTAGACCAGGTTCTGGGTCCAGTAGAACCTGGCCTCTCAGGGCTACAGCGACCCACTTAGAGCAGGTTCTGGGTCCAGTAGAACCCGGCCTCTCAGGGCTACAGCGACCCACTTAGACCAGGTTCTGGGTCCATTAGAACCTGGCCTCTCAGGGCTACAGCGACCCACTTAGAGCAGGTTCTGGGTCCAGTAGAACCCAGCCTCTCAGGGCTACAGCGACCCGCTTAGAGCAGGTTCTGGGTCCAGTAGAACCCAGCCTCTCAGGGCTACAGCGACCCACTTAGACCAGGTTCTGGGTCCATTAGAACCTGGCCTCTCAGGGCTACAGCGACCCACTTAGACCAGGTTCTGGGTCCATTAGAACCCGGCCTCTCAGGGCTACAGCGACCCGCTTAGAGCAGGTTCTGGGTCCAGTAGAACCCAGCCTCTCAGGGCTACAGCGACCCGCTTAGATCAGGTTCTGGGTCCAGTAGAACCCAGCCTCTCAGGGCTACAGCGACCCGCTTAGATCAGGTTCTGGGTCCAGTAGAACCGGTTCTGGGTCCAGTAGAACCCGGCCTCTCAGGGCTACAGCGACCCACTTGGACCAGGTTCTGGGTCCAGTAGAACCCGGCCTCTCAGGGCTACAGCGACCCACTTAGAGCAGGTTCTGGGTCCAGTAGAACCCAGCCTCTCAGGGCTACAGCGACCCGCTTAGAACAGGTTCTGGGTCCAGTAGAACCGGTTCTGGGTCCAGTAGAACCCGGCCTCTCAGGGCTACAGCGACCCACTTAGAGCAGGTTCTGGGTCCAGTAGAACCGGTTCTGGGTCCAGTAGAACCCAGCCTCTCAGGGCTACAGCGACCCACTTAGAGCAGGTTCTGGGTCCAGTAGAACCCAGCCTCTCAGGGCTACAGCGACCCGCTTAGATCAGGTTCTGGGTCCAGTAGAACCGGTTCTGGGTCCAGTAGAACCCGGCCTCTCAGGGCTACAGCGACCCACTTGGACCAGGTTCTGGGTCCAGTAGAACCCGGCCTCTCAGGGCTACAGCGACCCACTTAGAGCAGGTTCTGGGTCCAGTAGAACCCAGCCTCTCAGGGCTACAGCGACCCGCTTAGATCAGGTTCTGGGTCCAGTAGAACCGGTTCTGGGTCCAGTAGAACCCGGCCTCTCAGGGCTACAGCGACCCACTTAGACCAGGTTCTGGGTCCAGTAGAACCCGGCCTCTCAGGGCTACAGCGACCCACTTAGATCAGGTTCTGGGTCTTTCCATTAAATCAGAACCTAGATATGTATTCAGATTGGACCGGAACCAGGCTGGATGGTTTGGTTCTGAGCTTCGGTAGAACCAGAGGAACCCAGTACTGGTCCAAAGAAAGCCAGTTGAACGTGGTTCTGTTTTTCCAGATGATTCCTCTGGATTCTTTCGTGGGGCAGAGCGCAGACGGGAAGATGGTTCCCATCATTCCTGGAGGAACCAGCATCCCGCTCACGTTCTCCAACAGGAAGGAGTATGTGGAGCGAGCCATCGAGTACCGGCTGCACGAGATCGACCGACAGGTAAACGGACCTAGAAGCCACAGCCGGTTGGATTCTGGCCCAGACTCTAACCGGGTCTGGACCTTGGCTCTCCTGCAGGTGGCGGCGGTCCGTGAGGGAATGTCGTGGATCGTTCCGGTGCCGCTGCTGTCCCTCCTCACGGCCAAGCAGCTGGAGCAGATGGTGTGCGGCATGCCGGAGATCTGCTGCGACGTTCTGAAGAAGGTGGTCCGGTACCGGGAGGTGGACGAGCAGCACTCTCTGGTCCAGTGGTTCTGGCAGACGCTGGAGGAGTTCTCCAACGAGGAGCGGGTGCTCTTCATGCGCTTCGTGTCCGGGCGCTCCAGGCTTCCCGCCAACACGGCCGACATCTCCCAGAGGTTCCAGATCATGAGGGTGGACCGGGTGAGTGAACAGAACCGGGCCGGAGTATCAGAGCTGCTGCTTTTCTGCTGGTTGTGATCTGACCTGTTCCCCCTCCCCCCCCACCAGCCCTACGACAGCCTCCCCACCTCCCAGACCTGCTTCTTCCAGCTCCGCCTGCCGCCGTACTCCAGCCAGGCTGTCATGGCCGAGCGGCTGCGCTACGCCATCAACAACTGCCGCTCCATCGACATGGACAACTACATGCTGTCCCGTAACGTGGACAATGCCGAGGGCTCCGACACGGACTACTGACCTGCGCCTGCGCCGCGCCTGCCATGGCGAACTCTTTTACATCCCTTTGAACCTTCATTTCTCTCTCTGGTTCATTTGTTTTTATTGTGAAAATCCACAGGAAGTGCATCGCATTTGGTTTCCTTCCACAGAGCCGCGTTGGGACGCTGTACAGGACATCTGAGAGCAGCGGCGCTCAAGTTGTACATTGTGTAAAATGCTTCGTTAGGAAAATGTTTGGCATTGTTTCCATATTTATTGTTTTGGTTGGCCGCAGCAAGTTTCCCAAAGCAAACAAACAAAAAAAACAAACAATAAAGATGCTGCAGAACTGATCTGTGATCTGTTTGAAACAAAGATGCTGCAGAGAAGCGGCGCCGGTTTGTCCATCGACCCGGTTCATCTAGCGTCTAACGGTGCGTTCAGGTGGAGCTGCTTTAACCAACAACCTGCAGGATAGAAAACCAACTGAAAGATTGAGTTCTGGAAAGTTAGAAAGTCAAATATTAAACAGGTTACTATGTAAACTGACGTCTATGTCCAGAACTTGGGAATAGAAACGGATTCAGCTAAACGTTTGAACAAATGGTACGGAATGCTCTACAGAGACCCAGACAGGTGGAATGTAGCCTCTAGCTTTCCTTGGTTTGACACACCCACATTCAGAACAACGGGTCGAATCAGAACTGTAGCCTTACTCAGGTGAGAAATTCCTTCCCAACACTGAAGGATGATGGAGTTAGGACGGATTGAATAACGACCTGATTGGAGGAGTCGTACGTAGCATGGTGGTGGCAGCATCATGCTGTAGGTTAAAGAACGTAAAATCTTGATTAAGACACAGAAAAATGTGAGCCATGCTGCTTTGGCAGCCTCAATCTGCGGATCAGACGAGAGCAGAGTGAGTGAAGGTCAGAGCAGAACAAACACCAGAGGCTGCAGACTTGCTCAGGGACTAATTTGGAAACCTATCAAAGGATTTGAAGGGAACCGTTACCAAAGGTGCATCTCATGCCAAGAAACCATTCCAATTTGGTACTGATCTGGATCATGGGCCAGTTTAGCTAAAGGTGTGAAATAAATGCTTTTCAAGATGCTTATAAGAAGTTTTTGTTTTAAACGTCCACATTTGCTTCCACTGGGAATCGGGGACAAAGTTCTTCCAGTAGAAACAACTGGAGAGAAACTAATTATAATAACTATTTTATTTTTACAGGATGAAGAAAAACAAGGTATCAGCTACATGTAACAAAGATTAACTGTCAACAAAAACACTGAAGAGTTTACACATTTCTGACATCGGTAACCGTGACAACACTGACCAGACACACCTGGCTTAATGAGTCAGTCCATTATTGAGAGACGGGAAACAGGAGTTGGGTGTGGAATCCAGTGAGGAAAGCTCTAATCCTTTCTTGTTTATCTAATTCATGGTTTTGGGGGAACTCTGGGGGTTTGCAGATACAAATACTGAATCAAAACAATCATCCTTATTAAATTCAGAAACTGATTACTAACTTTCAAAGATTGAAATTCTTATTTTTTCCTGTTTTCAATGAGGGCGACTGCCTGCTTGGAAACTCACTCAGCTCTGGCCAGCCTTTTATTATTAGAGCCAAATTTCTGGGGTTTATTTTATATTATACCTGAATGTCCCAGTGGGTGGCGCTGTATGGATAACTTGGGTTGCAGTAACCTTTTAGCAGGTGTGCTGATTGCAGGAAACTCCGGCTACAGTTTAATCGGTGCACTGCGGTAAGTATGCAAAACCAATAAATGCTCTACAATCATTAGAAGTTTTCATTAATTGGATCCAGGAGAGGGGGGAGCTTCAGGGCAGCAGTTCCTCTATGGTGTAGGTTCATGTTTTTGGTTTTCTTTCTTCAATCAAGAACAAGTGTTAACATAAAGTTAATAACTTTGCTTCCTCAAAGTTGTGGCGAGGAGCTGCTGGACCCAAAGCTGGGCTGCGTGGAGGATGTCTGTGCTCCTAAAAGGCAGCATTGATGGAGGAAACGATCAGCTGATTCAACTGGAGGAGTTGCATCATGTACGGTGACCAACCCATTTCATTATATTTCCAAAGATCCAGACTTGTCAACATGAGCAAACTGTACTGGACATGAGGCTGAAACATGGATTCTTATTCCTTTAATTCCTTAAGTCTTTTTTAAAGAATATTAATAAAAAATCTTGGTGTTGCTTTTGATCAGGACCTGTCATTTAAATCCCATATCAAAGAGGTTTCTAGAATTTCCTTCTTTCATCTGAGGAATATTGCAAAAATTAGAAATCTCCTGTCCAGGGGTGATGCTGAGAAACTAGTCCATGCATTTGTTACTTCAAGGCTGGACTATTGTAATTCTTTACTAACAGGAAGTCCACAAACTGTAGTTAAAAGCCTTCAGCTGATCCAAAATGCTGCAGCCAGAGTTCTGATGAAAATGAAAAAGAGAGATCATATCTCTTCTCTTAATTGGCTTCCTGTTAAATCCAGAATAGAATTTAAGTTTTGGTCCGTGAGGCAGACATCCTGTCTACTTTTAAGGCTAGACTTAAAACTTTCCTTTTTGATAAAGCTTATAGTTAGAGTGTCCCAGGTTATCCTGAGCTATCTCTATAGTTATGCTGCTATAGGCTTAGACTGCTGGAGGACATAGGGACCCCCTTTTTCATCAGTCTGCTTCATTCTATCTCTATTATCCTACTCTGCAGAATCTGTTTTCTCATCATAGTAGCTCCGATCTGTTCTGCAGAGAAAGCAGGCAGTTAAAGGAAAATTCCGGTTTTTAACACTTTTAGCCCATTTTCTGTAGTGTCCAGGATGAAATCGAATGATCGACACCAAAATTTTGACAATTGGTCCTGTCTCTGCTATTTGGCTCATGCAGAATCCCCCCCTGGCTGCTTCAGAATGGCTTGCATAGTGCATGTCCGATAATGTCCTTAAAACAACCTTAAACGTTCTTTTTTTAAAATATGCTACTCACCGGGTCGTCAGCGCTGTTCAATGACGTTCCAAAAAAAGTTTCGGGAAGAAAAACCGTTCCTGTCTTGTTTTATTTAGCATTTTGTAAATCCCAGAACTATTTTTTCCGATACATCACAACCGCTTATAAACTTCCGCTTCCCGTTCGAATCTGAGGCGTTGCACACTCCAGACCACTAGTTGGCGACGGTATCCTCTACCGTCAAACTCAAAGTCCAATATGTCCTCCTCAAGAATCCACCTTTCGTATTCCATTTTCAGAGTTTTTTAAAGTGTTTAACAGAGACGTTAGCACCTCGACGTCGGAGTACACAGAGTGAAGCAGAAACACTTGGGCCTTGCGAAAAGACTACAACTAAGGGTAAACAGCCCCCATTTCCGTTTCCGGTGGCGGAGGGATATTGACTATTCCAACAGAACTCAATGGGATTTACAAAATGCTAAATAAAACACTACAGGAACGTTTTTTCTTTACGAAACTTGTTTTGGAACGTCATTGAACAGCGCTGACGACCCGGTGAGTAGCATATTTTAAAAAAAGAACGTTTAAGGTTGTTTTAAGGACATTATCGGACATGCACTATGGAAGCCATTCTGAAGCAGCCAGGGGGGGATTCTGCATGAGCCAAAAAGCAGAGACAGGACCAATTGTCAAAATTTTGGTGTCGATCATTCGATTTCATCCTGGACACTACAGAAAATGGGCTAAAAGTGTTTAAACAGCTCTCAGAAACAAACCCCTGACTTCTCTGACTGAAAGTAAAATCATGAACAAAAATGTTGAATAAAGTTTCCTTTGCTTCATCCGGTGCTCCTCTGCAGATGGATCCGGGGTTCAGTCAACAGGAAATTAATCTGTAAACCATGTTTGAATGAGCTGAACACTGTCTCCAAATCTTTACCAGTTTTAATTTTCCAGGGATCTAATGTTTATTTTGCTTTAATAAGTTAAAATTGAATAATGATTGTGGAAAAAACCTGAAATCAGAAATTATATTTAAGAACTTTATATTTTAGCATTCCAATTAACCTAACAGTCATGTTTTTGGACTTTGGGAGGAGGCCGGAGTACCCGGAGAGAACCCACACATGCTCAGGGAGAACATGCAAACTCCATGGAGGAAGACCCCGGGCCGGGAATCAAACCTTATTGTGACAAACATTTAATATTTTTAAGGCAGAAAGATAAAACAGGATTCAGTGAAGACAGAATCTTCAACTTCATGCATTTTATTTCATGCTCTCTTCAACTTCTGCAGCTCTATTTTTTCCAGTTAAAATGAAGCATATCTTAATTAATGTGAGACCCACAGTTTCCTCCTCTACATGCAAACAAGAGAAGAAGTCAAAGCGAGAAGGACACCAAGGATCCAGGGGAGATCTGGAAGAAAAAAAGGGACGGGTTCAGGATTTACATGCAGCACAGATTCCTTCCTAGAAATCAGATCTTCTGTTTGTAAACAGGTAAATATCCATGCAGGGATAGTATTTAAAGTTAAACATACCTACGTGAGTCCCTGCACCCGTTGGCGCTGAAGTAACGGACTCTAAAGAAAGAACAACATATATTTTAGCAACCCATTTCAGCATCCTTTTAAGTCTATGTTCAGCTGATTAATATAAATGTGACATATATGCACATGTGGACATGTTTGTGTTCACATGTTAGATTACATGTCATTCTGCATGCAGAACCACAAGAAAAAATCCTGCAACATTAAAGCAGTAGATTATCTTTGGCTTTAAACATTAACTTAAAATTTTTCTAGATGACTTAATTTTCATTCATTGGAGCAGAGCTTGGTGTGGCAGCAGCTGCCTCGTGTATGGAAGGCTGTTTGCTGGTCTGACTCCTGAACTCAGGATCTTTGCTTTCCGCTCCGTGTCTTTCTCTCTGCCAACCTCCTGTCAGACTACTGTGAATAAAAGTTTCTAATGCCACAAAATTGTTAGAAAATTAAAAGCATAAAAAATGTAAACTGTCTTTTAATAAATACTAGTTTAGACTCCATTAGCTTCACTAAAATGTTTAAACCTTCACTCTTTTGTCTTCATAGTCCTGATCTTGTGTCAACAGTTGGCATAGAGTGTGAACAAAAAACATAATTTTCTTAAAAGCTTTTCATATCTCATCATTTTTATAATTGTTCCTCTGTCATCTCCTGTTTTACTTGGAGGGGGGGGGGGGTTACAACTGTAAAGGTCACCTGGCAAATGCAGAGAACCTTAAAGGCAATTTAAGGTGACTAATTAACTTTAAAGTCCTGTTTTTAAACTGTTGGAGGGAGCCAGAGTACCCCGAGGGAACCCAAACAGGCATGAGGAGAAGACCCTTGAGTTTAATCAAATTAACCCTCCAGCCCCATCATGGCTTTACAACTTTCTCAATGTGGTTCATTAATAACTCCCTAAATAAACGTAACAATACAGCAGAGAGCCATAATCAATTAGTCTGTTATGTTAACACATAAACAGGTCCA